GAGGGGGTCTAGGTTGGTGTATTGTTGAAAGGCTTGAGATAATCTGTGTAAGAATTCAGAGGGTGTTTCTTTTTTCTGAATTATATCTTGGATTTTTTGGAAATTGACTACTTTGCGGGCGGCCTTTTTGAGACCAGCCATGAGACAAGAGGCAAAGCGATCTCTGGCCTGAATTCCCGGCGGTGTGTTGTAGTCCCAGTGTGGATCCTGTTCAGGAACTGCCTGGGCCTAGTGGGAAAGCAAGGTCTGTGCAGTGGGTTTCATCTGCACGGGCCTGGGCCGCATCCCAGACATGGCGGCGCTCTTCAGGAAGGAAGAATGAGACTGTATGCCTGAAGGACCCATTGGAATTCCTTAATATAAGTGGAGGGGTCAGTGGTGAAGGACCCTAATCTTTTTTCTAGCTGAGTAAGGTTGGCTAGCGAGAAGGGAACATGGACTCGAACAACTCCCTCAGCACCAGCCACCTCACGAAGGGGAGCTATGGTAGAGGCGGGGAGTCCCCGAGAACGTGTGACAGGCGGGCTAAAAGAGGCAGCAGAGGGAGGATTGGGAAGTAGAGGGGCAGTTGGATTAAGGGGGGCAGGAGATGTGGGGGCAGTTGGGGGAGAGGCTGCCGGAGGGGGGGCCTGTATTGAGGGGGTTCATCTGCAGGGTCAAAGGCGTTGGGATCAGGAGATAAGGGCGAGAGGGCTTTAGACGCTAGCAGAACCTGAGAGGGGGAACAAGTGGGACAGAGGGAGGGGTTTTGGGCGAGGAGGCGGAAAGCCTCAACACAGGGACTCTCTTTCCATTTTTTCAGGTGCTGGCAGTAATTGAAAAGATCCTGGAGAGTGTCAGGATCGAGTGTGCCCTCAGGGGGCCACTTGTTTTGGTTGTCTAAGGGATAATAAGGGGGTCCTGTGTGCAAAATTTGGTGAGGAGCTTGGGTTTAATGTCTGGTTTGAGGGATAAAGTGGTGAGGTTGTTTAGGAGGCACTGTTGGGATGAATTCTCCCAAAGTGAGGAGGAGGAACTTCCCATTCTGGAAG